TTTCATCCAGCAAAGCCGTAATTTGTTCGTCAAAAACGGCCGATGGTCGACCAGAACGTGGGGCGTCTTTAACTCCAAAATCTCCAAGCCTGAATTTGGCAAACCAGCGCTGACATTGGCGATCACTCATGGCATCTTTACCATACACTTCGCACAATTTTTCGCGAGCTTCGACCGCTTTTTTTCCTTTTTGGAAGTAAAAAGCAAAATATGCCGAAAATGCTCACTTTGGTCCTCCATGTTTAATTTGCTATAGCTTCCACAAATGTTATCGAATAATTACCAAATTTTCGTCGATAGTACCTAAGACAATAAGCTTTAAAAGGTTCTAAAAAGTGTGACCCTGGTGCTCGATTAGTCGTAAATAAATTAGATTAAAAACGATTACTAAAAAAAACGACATGACTTTCTTGCCAACCCAATAGTTTTCTATTTTATTTATTTACTAGCAAACCCGGCGAACTTTGTTCTGCCTTTTTTTGGAAATAATTTCAAAAATAATCAAAAACCTACATTAATATTTAATTTTTATTTCTGTATTTTGGTACATAGGCGTCGATCAAGTTGTTCTTCCATGTTTCATTGCTTAATGATACATCTGCTGAAGATTTCTCGAAGCAATTGCTGACTATCGGCAATGGTCAAGTACCTGTCGATGAATCGAGCGGATTAATATCATTTCGAAATAATTTTTGTAATTTTGTCTCATCAAAAAAGGAACTTATCAACAATGTATTTGCAAACATTATTTCTAACTACAAAAATAAGGAATGGTTGAGTGAGAGAGCCATTTTAGCGGCTAAGAATAAAGATGTTGATGACCTGAACTACATAATTCAAAATAAGATCATTGGAACAATGCATTCATTCAAATCTATTGACTGAGTCACAAATGAAGATGAAGCCACCAACTATCCAATTAAATTTTTAAACTCTTTGGACGTGCCTGGCTTACCACTGCATAATTTACATCTAAAGGTTGGATCCGTAGTAAACATACTTCGAAACATAAACCAACCAAAATTGTGCAACGGTATGCGTTAATGGCAATAAATAAGCAGATTTTTTTTTTTTATAGGAAAAAATTACAAAAAAAATTAAAAACCTACTAAATAGGTTGCTCTTCACTTAAGTGCCTTGTAATACACGACATTTTTTGTTTTATTATCAGGCGCAAAAACAAACAACGCAGATGGTTTTCCGACCCGTGAACATGCCACGTATAATTGACCATGTGAAAAACATGAATGTTCTAGATTTAAACCACAAACTTTTAAGGATTGGCCTTGTGATTTGTTGATGGTCATGGCAAATGCAAGACGTATCGGAAATTGAATTCTTTTAAATTCAAACGGCATATCGGTTGGTATCATCGGTATTCTCGGTATGAGAACTTCCTCACCTTTGAATTTTCCTATCATTATCGTAGCGTAAATTACATTGTTCATTAGTTTTCTAACCACCAAACGCGTACCGTTGCACAGTTTTGGTTGGTTTATGTTTCGAAGCATGATTACTACGGATCCAACCTTTAGATGTAAATTATGCGGTGGTAAGCCAGGCACGTCCAAAGAGTTTAAAAATTCAATTGGATAGTTAGTTGCTTCATCTTCATTTGTGACGCAGTCAATAGATTTGAATGAATGCATTGTTCCAATGATCTTATTTTGAATTATGTAGTTCAGGTCATCAACAACTTTATTCTTAGACGCGAAAATGGCTCTCTCACTCACCCATTCCTTATTTTTGTAGCTAGAAATAATGTTTGGAAATACATTGTTGATAAGTTCCCCGGAGTCAACAATGGCAATTTAACTTTACCATTAAAGCAGCATAATCCAGGCGTTTCTCCGGAAAACTTCAGTGCACCGCAATACTCGCAAACAACGTCCATTTGCCCAATGCAAACGCTAGGATGCAAGCTGTAATCAGTGATGCAATCGTATTGAAACGCTGCTCGATTCAAATCAGCACTTGATAAATTTCTTCTGCGTCGCAAATGATCTATTTCTTGACCTCTGTTGTAAGCTCGACGATTCTGCATTGTCAACCGAGCCGTATTACGGATTGCCTCTCTTTGCTCTGCTGATTGAGAAGCACGAAGTCGACCTATTCTAACGCGGTTCTGTTCACGTTCAATGTTTTGTTCTTCTTCAGACCTTCCATTTGCAGTATTTTGTAGTCTTCTTGCATTACGGCTTTGTCGGGAAAGATTCGATCGTCTTGGTCGCGGCATTATTAATTAAACTTCCCTTCACTTCAATTCACAAAAAGCACGAAAAACTTCACTTCACTTCAATTCACCAAAATCACAAATAATTTCTACTCACTTTAAAAAAATTGAGTTAAAATGCTATGGTAGTGTGTGCTTGTCAGTTTGATGAGGTAATAACTCAGTTTATATGCGATTTTTGGTATGTCGAACGGAATAAAAAGTACCCTAACTCCTATTCCGGGCTCTAAGCTACCTTCCTACCAATTTTCAGCCAAATCTGTTCAGCCGTTCTTAAGTTATAAGTGGTGGAACTAACACAACTTGCTTTTATATATATAGATTAAAATTAGAACTAGTATACAATACTAAACCTAAATATTTAATGAGTACTAGCTAACAGGGCTTTCGACTCGAAACTTGAGTGTTTGTACCTTATATAATAAATTTAGCCTGGTTGACAAATTTGTTTAACAGGGCCTTCGACTCGAAACTTGAGTATTTGTACCTTATACAAGTATAATAAATTTAGCCTGGTTGACAAATTTGTTGATATTTATGATATTTACTTGAGAAGTGTTTTTTAAACAATCTGAGGGGTATTGTGTGCCAAATATTAAAGATCTGATTGTTTGTAATCGGCTGCAGGTGTCGAGGATGTGATCTACGGTAAGATCGTCACCGCATAGTTGACATGTTGGCCTAGTCGTTCCTATCAGTATGTGTTGGTCTGTGGATTGTGTGTGCCCTATGCGTAGGCGGATGAAAGTTGCGCATGCTCGTCGGGGTACGTTTGGTGGTGGCTTAAACTTGATGCAGTTTGGGTTTATGGTTTGGTATCTGTGCGTAAAAGTGCCCATTCGGATAGTTTTTTTCTTTGAGGTAAAGCTGAATTTTGCTTTGTATATCCTTGACATTGAACGGGGTGAATAGAAATGATGGTGTACGTCTCATTTCTTGGGCGGCCTTGTCAGCGAGTTCGTTTCCATTAATTTCTTGATGACTGGGTACCCAAAGAGTAGTGATTTTAGTTGCATGTAGACTCAGAATGTACCTGATTTCCTGCATTGTGGGATCGTTGTGATTCCATTTTCGCAGGGCGGAAATAGATGACAGACTGTCTGTACAGATAACAAATTTTCCAGTGCTTTTGGATGCAAAGTGGCAGGCTTTAAGTATGGCAAATGCTTCGGCTGTAAATATGGAGTTGTACGGTGGGAGCCTTCCTCCTGCTATTATTTTCTTATTGCAGTCGACCACCGCAAAGGATGTTGAGTTCGTGACTTGGGAGCCATCTGTGTAGATCCAGGTTTTGTTCTCGAGATCCTCTTGTGCACTCAAGAAACGTTGTTGGTATTCCAAATGGGAAGTATCTTTTTTTGCAGCATTGTATATTTTTGTGTTTATGTTTGGCTTTTTGGGGCCCCAATATGCTGGGGATTTTAAAGTCCTTCTGGGCTTAGGCAGAGCGAGGTCAAGCAGCGTGATGTAATTGGCGCAACGTCGAAGTGTGGAAAAGCATTTCATTTTCCTTTTCTGCTTGAAAATGGTTCCGAAGTCCTTAGCGAGTAGGCAGTTTGATGTGGTGTACAGCTTTGGGATGAGCATCATCGTTGTTTCTACTATCCGTTATTCAATGCTTGGCAGAATCTGGCCTGCCAATGTACATGCAACTGGAGAGGTGGGAAATGCGTGAATGGCGCGACGAACTGCTCCGTGATAGGGTGCTTGTATTTTTTAAAGTGTGATTTGGCACACCAACCGTAGATTGGCAGGCCATAGTCGATTTTAGAGATGATTAATGCGCGCGTAATTTCTATGAGGGTTGTTTGGTCATGCCGCAGCCTAAATCAAACCACTAATTTCAAATCGTAACGTAAAACCAAATTCTAGATGTTCTCCTTTTGTTTTGCTATTTGCCCTGCGCGGCAACACTGTTTTGATTGTCATTGCTAACTACCTTTGCACTTTTTGCTTATTCGCTTTCTGGCCTTGTCCACGGCAAGCTTCATAGCAGTTCGAATTTGTACACGCACATAGAAGGCACGGTCGCTGATCGCCTGCCAAATCTCGGCTCTATATACTTTCGCGACTAAAACGGCACAGACAAATCGGTCTGCCTGCCCATCATACTTTCGTCTAAAGCACAGACAAATCGGTCTGCCTGCTAACCTACCCTTTCGCTGCAAAAAGGCACAGACATTTCGGTCTGCCTGCCTAACCAAATCTACTACAACAAACTAACTTTGTACATTTAAGGCCTTGGTGCCAGGTTAATAAATAAGTGCATATTTAAGTCGAAATTTGTGCGTTATTATTTTACTTGGGCACCACCAAAGGTAATGGTCTTTGAAAAAGCTCACTGACCCAACATTTTGGTGACCCCGACGTGATAGTGATACTGAAACAATAAAACTTCGAAAAATCGAACAAATAATTTTATTATTTTCGTTCGGTTTAAAGTTGGTGATCGCGCATATATGTATGTACATATGTACATAAACGCAAGCTGAAAACTTCGCTAGAGTCTCGTACACGCCCGCCCCCGCGCATCGTAAAGTGCATTTTCGTATTCGCTTTGTGCCTTCGTTCCCGCTTTGAACGTTTTACAGCGGCGACAAAACGTTTGTGCGCGGGTTCATTGCCTACATTGCATATGCATTAGGCTTACACATAGATTCCGCTTCGTTTTCGCTGGCTTAGAATTTTGGCGCTAATCATTGCACAGTGGAACTCTTTTAGTGTGCAAGTGAAAAATTCTCGAACAATTAAAATCAAATTAATTAAAATGTCAACGAACCAAACTCTTTCTGCTCCAGTTGCGGGAGCAAAATATTTCAAGTTGAAGGCCGAGTCAATGCTTTCTAAAACGAAAGCCTTTGAGAAGGCCCTGACTGCCGACAAGCTCCAGGAAATGAGCGAGAAGGAATTGGAACTTCGTGTTCAACGCCTGGACGAGATCAAGACTGCCTTTTGCCAGATCCACGACAGACTTGAGCAGCTGGACTTTGATGAAATTGGTAGTGTGGTGCGCGATGACTTCGAGGAGCTTTTCATCTCAACAAAAACAAAATTGAATGTTGAATTGCGTAAGCGAAAAGGGACCAAGCGTCATAGCCCTTTGCACCCTGGCTCTCGGCCTTCGTCCGAGGTTCAGCGAGCTCCCGTGGCGGAACTAACCTTTTTATCCGTTCGAACGATGCATCAATTGGCGAGTGATGAGAAGAGAGGGCAATCAACACAGGAGGTTCTCGAAATCAACGACGTCCGTGATCAAATTCCTGACTTGGAAAAGGAAACATTTCGGAAGATAGACGATAGCAGCACCACGACGCTCGGTCTTGCCTGTGACCCTGTAGCGGATGTTTCTCGTTTTTCCCTTTCTTCCATACAGGTCTCTCCAAAGCCATCTGCCAAGGCCAAAATCTTCCTGCAACAAGTCTGGAGAGAAAGGTTGAAGTGTGATAAGAGCTCTCCTGTTGTCCTGTTACCATCTGACATGGGTCGTACCCATCAAATGGAGATTCTTCGACGTGCGTTGGATCCAGATGCTGATGGCGAACGAGAGGTGCATCTACTTTTTTCAAAGTCTCGTGTGGCACCTCTTACGGTTTCCAAATTGGAGTTCTGCACTGCCATGATACTAGCCCAGCTGATGCGGGACGTACGCAACATGGATCTTTTCGATTGCCCGTTTTATTGCTGGTCGGATTCCGCTGTAGCTTTATCATGGATAAGCGATGAGCCTTCACGTTTCCAAGTATTCATTGCTAATCGAATTTCTTTAATTCAAGAGCTATCCGGCGGCATGAATTGGCGCTATGTACCGATTAACTGCAATCCAGCCGACATCTTTTCAAGAAGTGCTTCCCCGACTGAGCTTCTGGAATTTGCCCTTTGGTTCAGAAGCCCAGCGTTTCTTCTCAAGAATCAGCACGATTGGCCTGAATCTTGTTTGCCTGCGAAGACTCCTCCCGAGTTCAGAAAGGGCATTTTGGTTGGCGTCTCTACCAAAGTGGATCTACCCTTAAAACGCAATCTCGTGAATTCCTGTCAAAAGATGACCCACACTTTCGGATTCGAATACAAATTTGCACGCCGTAAAAGACGTCCTGGTCTTGCCGTCAAATATGTCAAGATGGGCACTCAGATACTCATCAGATGTATCCAAATGAGCAACCTGGCTGATGACTACTGGAGACTGCATTCTAAGCAGCAAATTTCATCATCCAGCCCGTTGTCCTCTCTATTGCCATTCATCGATAGCTTCGGTCTGATGCGAGTTGGTGGCCGTCTACAGAATTCGTCCTTGGATTACAATGCGCAGCATCCTGTCATACTGCCACGCCAGCATCCAGTTACACGTGCCATTATACTGGACCTGCATCGGAGGAACTTGCATTCTGGTCCACGAGCTCTGCTCGCTCACATGCGCCTTCAGTTTTGGCCGATAGGTGGCCGGAAAACAGTGTCAGCTGCAACGTCAAAATGCGTCATATGCTTTCGTGCCAAGCCACAGCTTTCTCAACACATAATGGCTGACTTGCCCAATGATCGCGTAAACGCCACGTCTACGTTCATGGTTACTGGTCTGGACTTCTGCGGTCCATTTTATTACAAAACCGGAGTTCGAAGCAAGGTGCCTGTGAAAACATACGTCTGCGTTTTCATCTGTTTCGCGACGAAGGCGATCCATCTGGAGCTTGTCCAGGATCTTTCGACACAAGCATTTTTGGGAGCACTGAAGCAGTTTATTCTCACCAGAGGCAAACCTGTCCGAATATGGTCGAATAATGCCACGAACTTCGTTGGAGCCAAGAACGAGCTAGCTGAGCTGAAGAATCTGTTCCTATCGAGCCCCCACATTCGAGCGATTGAAGAATTCTGCCTGGAAGATTCCATTGAGTGGCGTTTTATTCCTCCTCGTTCACCTCACTTTGGAGGTCTCTGGGAGGCTGCAGTAAAAACGGCAAAATTTCATTTCTACCGTTCTGTTGGCCCATCGTTATTATCGTTCGATGAATTGCGCACTCTCATTTGCCACATTGCGGCGATTGTAAACTCACGGCCTTTACTCCCTCTTTCAGAGAATCCGGCAGATCTTGAGGCGCTAACTCCTGCACACTTTCTTGGAACAGTTCCACTGTTGTTGTTCTCTGAGCCTGACGTCACAAAGCTTAACTTCAACCGTTTGGACTGCTGGCAGAGAATTTCCTACTTCCAACAAATCTTCTGGTCACGGTGTCGTGAAGAGTACTTGACCCTGTTACAGCAATGGTCAAAGTGGCGCACTCCCAAACCTGCGCTACGAGTCAACGAGGTCGTCTCCACTTTGCCTTCATTGAAATGGCCAATACCCAGGGTCATGGAATTGGTGCCTGGATCCGATGGAGTCGCTCGTGTAGCAGTGATACGAATTTCAACTGGAGTCACTCGCAGAGCTGTCCGCAAGCTGTGCGTGCTGCCGAAGCTGGATCTGGTTGAAAGCCCTGGTCTTCCAACGGGGGGAGTATGTTTGGTCATGCCGCAGCCTAAATCAAACCACTAATTTCAAATCGTAACGTAAAACCAAATTCTAGATGTTCTCCTTTTGTTTTGCTATTTGCCCTGCGCGGCAACACTGTTTTGATTGTCATTGCTAACTACCTTTGCACTTTTTGCTTATTCGCTTTCTGGCCTTGTCCACGGCAAGCTTCATAGCAGTTCGAATTTGTACACGCACATAGAAGGCACGGTCGCTGATCGCCTGCCAAATCTCGGCTCTATATACTTTCGCGACTAAAACGGCACAGACAAATCGGTCTGCCTGCCCATCATACTTTCGTCTAAAGCACAGACAAATCGGTCTGCCTGCTAACCTACCCTTTCGCTGCAAAAAGGCACAGACATTTCGGTCTGCCTGCCTAACCAAATCTACTACAACAAACTAACTTTGTACATTTAAGGCCTTGGTGCCAGGTTAATAAATAAGTGCATATTTAAGTCGAAATTTGTGCGTTATTATTTTACTTGGGCACCACCAAAGGTAATGGTCTTTGAAAAAGCTCACTGACCCAACAAGGGTCTTAGTGTGTAAGTTATCCGACCCATGAAACCAGGCCACTTATGGCTTTTATAAACAATATTTTCAAACTCTGCATTTCCTTTGTCTTTGGCTTTGAGGCCCGCTCCTTTGTCTTTGGCTTTGAGGCCCGCTCTTAGTTCCCCAGCTAAGCTAAACAATTCAAATTTAAAGTAAACATCAGCTTCCGTTCGAAGCGCAATCAATTGCGCCGATTGAGTTTCAAGTCCCCACCAAATTGCATCGGTCAGCATAATTGAATTTCACAATAAGATGCGACAGTTTTATCTTAAGCTTTTATTCTAAACAAAAGCTCCTGGCCGAGGTTTATTGGAGCCGATTAAAAAGTTAAGCAGACAGTCCTGTTCAGATCGGCATCGCGTTCAGTTATATCTGTTAAAGTGTCTTGTGAAAAATTGTATTTATAAGTTAAAAGGTTTATCACCGAAATAAATATACAGGGTGGGCCATTTAAATTTGACCCATTTGGCAACCCTGTAACTTTTGACAGCGTCGACAGATCGTCAAATGTCATACCACGTTGGAAGCGTCAGTCGAAGACAATTGATACCATGGAACAATACACTCCAAAGGAACGCGCTCAAATTCTTCAGCTCTACATTAAAAATAAATTCTCAATTGTGTTGGCCCAGCAGGTAGAGCGCTGGCCTCCGGTCCAGGCTCCCCGAGAAAAAGAAACGGTCTCTTTTTCCAAATCTCCACCACTTCTATGCTCTATCGCTCACTTAACATTAGTAACAAATTTCGGCTCCCCGGACCCGCACACCCCCTCGTCCACGTTACTATGGACCCAACAATAGAATTTTCGTCACTCCTAGATGGCGCCAGGTGGCAACCCCACCGCTAGGATAAGTCGCTACTGGCTTATCACCGGTACGATCGAAAATCAATGATAATGAATCCTCTACAAGAAATTGTAGAGGCTCTAAGCTCCCGGGTGGAGTAAAAGAATGTAAATTTTTAACCCAACGTGCGTTTCGTAAAATGAATAAAGTTAAAAGTGCTCCAGTTAAAAACACAATTAAGTCTTTGTACGCAAAATTTGTAAACACCGGTAATCTAAGTAATGCCAGTCATGTATCCAGGCAACGAACAAGACGTTCTAATGAAAATATCGAAGCTGTACGAGCCAGTATTGATGAGACTCCTACGACATCGATATCGAGCAATGATAACCGAATTTCTGATGCCTATTATTCGTGAAAATGTCATGGATAACTTCTGGTTTCAACAGGACGGGGCAACTTGCCATACAGCTAGAGCAACAATCGATTTATTGCGAACATTGTTCCCTGGGCGGTTGATATTGAAAAGTGGTGATTTTGACTGGCCCCCAACATCACCAGATTTGACGGCACCAGACTTTTATTTGTGGGGTTATTTGAAATCCAAGGTATACACTAATAAACCAAAAACCTTAAGTCAACTAAAAGACAACATTAGACGTGAAATAGCCGCCATATCGTCTGAAACATTGACCAAAGTCATGGAAAATGCTGAAAAAATAATGCATTCGGCTGTCAGAGCTAAAGGTGCCCATTAACGTGATATCATTTTTAATAATAATTTGTGAAAAATCTCCTTGGACCAAAATAAATGATTTTTGGAATAAAAAAAAATTGTCCACTTTTTTTGTTTTTGTTTTAAGAATCAAGTGGGTCAACTTTAAATGGCCCACCCTGTATAAATAAAAAATAAAATATATTTTTTTAAATTCACCAACAACATCAAATTTAATTTGTATGCAAGAGTATTTAGATGATAGGAATTTAACAATGTTTAATCTAGTTTCAAGCTTTTTTCTTAGAATCTGACAGTGTTGTTGAAAAAGAAGCTTCGAGTCGAAGGTGATGCCCAGAATGTTTAAAAACTTAACATTTTTTATTGTGTGGTTATTCAAGACTAAGTCGGAAAGATTACATTGAATTTTACGGCAAATATGTAGTAACTTACACTTTTCGATAGCAAGAGAGGCACCAGAGGTTGCTCCCCACAAGTTAATTTCGTGTAATATTTCTAAAAAATTAGTTCTAACAGTGTTGATATTTTTTATTTTTGTGAAAATGATGGCGTCGTCTGCATACAATGAGACACGTATTTCTTTATAACGAGATAAAATACTATTTACTTCTTCAAAAAATAAAACCACAGACAGAGGAGAGCCCTGCGGAATTCCGTTGTGTAAAATGTGGGAGTTCGAGGTGACAGTATTTACCCGAACCCTGAAACAGCGATTGGTCATGAAGGCTTTAATTAAATTGTAAAGCCTTGGACCAATGCCCCAGCGCCCGAGTCGACAAAGTACGGCATGAATCCCCACGCGATCGAAGGCTCTTTCAAAATCCGTCGCCAGGATGGAGACGTGGTTTCTGATCGAAAGAGCGTTCGATGCGAAGTGTTGGATACGCAGTAAAGCGTCCATCGTGCTGTGGTTCTAATTAAATGCAACTTGATTTTGTGAAATTAAATTGTGGCAGTTAGTAAACCAGAGGAGTCTTTGGGATATTATGTTTTCTAAAGTTTTTCCTAGGCAGGATAACAGGGATATAGGGCGGTAGCTATTAATAACAGAGGGGGGTTTGTTAGGTTTTGGGATAGGAATGATGGTGGCTGATCTCCATGTATGTGGATAGTTGCCATCATTCAGCATTTGGTTAAATATACCCAAAAGTTTTGTTTTTAGAATGGGTGGTAGGTTTTCAAGCATAGGGTAAGATACCCTATCGGCCCCTGGGCTTTTTCCTTTTGCGTTTGCTAATGAGTTTTCTATTTCGAGCATTGTGAAGTTGGAATCTAAGTATGTAGCAGATGGGGACAGTGAGTCCAGGAGATAGGTTTCTGACAAATACCGATTTTTTTCTGCTATATACTCAGCGGAAAAATTGCTATCGGAAGATTATTTTGACCAAGAGCCGACAAACTTTTCGGCAATATTGAAGGACACAGTTAGCGTACCTGAGTCGGATTCTATGTATGTATTTGAAGGGTGTGGGCGGAATTCCAGCTAGACGTTTTATATCAGACCAGACTTTTTTGGAAGAGGATATCGGGGAGATATTGTAAGTAAATTGATTCAGCGAGTTACGCTTGGACGAGAGTATCGTTTTTTTTTAAAAAGAGCGTTTGCTTTTTTGTATTTGATAAGGTTTACATTATTCTTATTTGCCTTATAAAGGGAGAACAACAGTTGTTTTTGGTCCCTGAGTTACTGAAGCTCAGGATTCCACCATGGCACTTTGGCTTTATGGGCCACTCTTTTTGTTTGGGGTATGCTGCAGTTTGCAGCTGCACGTATGGCTTTTGTCATTTGAGCGACTTGCTGGTTTATGCAACCAGCTGCCCAATTTGCGGCTGATTTTTCGCCATTCTCCTGAAAGCGCTTCCAGTTGGCCAGATCTGTCTTGAATTTAGGCAGTGGCAGATTTTCTATATTTTCGACGATTGTTCTAAGGACAGCTATATGATAAAGTCGTCCAATTTTGATGAAATTTATCGAAACTCAAGAGTCATTAAAAAAATCTAAATTCAAAAAATCATGATTGACTGATGAAAAATATTATCATTTTGTTTTCGTTAATTCTCTATAGATTTTTGGATCTTTCCTTTGTAATCTATATGATATAGTTATCCGATTTTTATTTAATTTTGTTCTCGATTCAAGGGTTATTAAAAAATTCGATATTCTAAACATAATGCTCGTGGAGTTAAGAACAACCTCTTTATAATTTTTTTTCCATCGTTTATATATATATATATATATCTTTCCTATGGCAGATATGTGATATAATTATTCGATTTTGCGTGCATTAGCTATACTATTGATAAAGTTTCGGTAAGATAACTTTAAAACTAATTAACTAGTTTACATAAAACTGACAGGAGGAGGATCGTGATGCTTATCAAGAATATATATACTTTATGGGGTCTGAGGTATCTCCCTCACTGCGTTGCATTTTTTTTTATTTTACCAATCACAGGTGTATTTTTCTTTAAATTGTATTCATTGTTCAAAATTCTTAAGAACATATTTTACACATTTTAGTGCATGATAAAAAGCAATGGCGTTATAATTTTTCCGTTTTTGTTTGATTTTTTTCTTATGGGGGCTTTATGATATAGTTTCCTATTCAAACCACTCCAGCAAATGCACTGCCTTATTTTTCTTTTTTTCTTAGCAGAATAACCAATTAAGTGCTACTATGCACTATGGTCCAAAAGTCCATTTTTTTGGCATAAACTCTGAAAATTGACTTACAGACCTCAAACTTTGCACATTATTTTTTCTTTTTAAGAAGAGTAAGCAAAAAAAATTTTGAGTCCATGCGACCACGCCTTCTTTTGCCTCCCATACTAAATAATTCCTAGTATTATTCTTAAAAATTAAGATTCAGATAAGTTACTTACATTTATGTATGTGTAATAAATTTTAATAAATAAATTGGTTTTTGTTTTAAACATAGTCTTCTTCTTTTGCTTCTTCTTCTTCTAGTTCTATAGAGCATCCTTCGTTTAGGTCCTCATCAGAATCATATTCAGATTGCACATCCAATTCTTTTTCATTTGGGTTTTTGTTTTCGGCAGACGGCAACTCCAGAATACTTAAGGGGTTATATACCTTTTTCAAGCTCAAAAAATCGAAAAAAATTTTATAATTTTTTTTGATGTACATACTTTCAACAATTTATCAGCAAAATTTTTTAGAGATCGGGGCACTAGAACCTAAGATACAGCCGTTCATAGCGCACGGTGTACATGACTACATAATGTCCACCTAAAACTTTAAACGCGATTATCTCGGAATCACATTTTTGAGAAAAGGTCATTGCGGTGAGCACGATATCTCGGTAACCACTACATCGATCGATTTGAAATTTTGGGGGATTGTTTGTAGATACAATAGCTAGTTCGTGAACGAAGGAATTTTATTTTCGACAAATTTTTCTATTTTTTTGGGGCAAAAAACTAAATTATTAGACCTCGAAATATCGGTTTTTTTGAAAAAATAATCACTGTAACTGTAAAAAATTTTTTTTGTTTTCTCTGTTGAGCCGTTTCCTTGTTTTCATGCTCACCGTGAGCCACTACTGAAAAAAGGACTTCTGCGGCAAGGGCTGTAACTTCCAAAATTATGAAAATTTTCACTCGAAATTTTATACGAATTTACTTAAGGACACGTACGTTGATAAAATTTGTATTGTATTTCAATAAAACAATGGTAACATGGTAAAAAAAAATAAATAAAAACCCTGTATTTCTCTGGAGAAAAAGGTATATAACCCCTCAATACTTCTGTAGGAAGAGGTATTTTTATGTTTTTCCCTTCTCTTTTATTTAAACAAATGCTAGATAGTAAAGGATCCGAGGAATATATCGCCCTGTGGAAAAGGTCAGTCATAGTATTGATTCGACTATTTTTCCTTGCGTGTAAGAGTCTGTCCCTTTTGTAGATTTTATTCCGTGCCTCTGAAGCATTTTCGCCTAAGCACCCTACCTTGTGAATTGTTGGTGACATTGGGTACCACAGGTATTTATGCATATACAATAGAGTCCGCTTATAGCGACTTTCAAGGACCGACGAGTTTTCGTCGTTATACCCGGAAGACGCACTAAGCAAAAGGATATAAGTGTATAAGTCTATCTGGGGACCAATCAAACCATCGAGTTTTCGTCGCAATACCCGGACAGACACTATAAGCGGAGTCGTTATAACAGAATTCTACTGTATAAGTCAAACGTTTTCTTACAAAAAATTCGAAACTTTTCAGAGTTTATATAGTGATTACAGGAAATTGCTACTAATATAACGTGGAGCTTATTTAAAAGGGTTTTTCTTTTATAAAGGATTCAAAATGACTTATTTTTTATTTATATCTAATCTTTTCCTATATTCTATGGGGTATTTGCTCAGTTTTTCGTAAATCCAATCAGACACAATTGGTATTTTGCGATTGTTGCTGCGCCAAATATCGAAAAGATCGCTATGGCTAAACTCGAACGTCCCTGAATATTGTGGATTTGTAAGAAAAGGGGGACGAACGGGGAAAATGTGTTAATTAGCGTTGAAAAAGGACATTTATGTGAACAAACTGACGTTGTAAGTTTTTGTCGGCAGACATGGGGTCGTTTTTTTTTATCCACGAAACACAGGGGACGCATGTTAATTTTCTACAAAAATACACATAAATTGGACATTAAACTCAGCTCAAATACTAAAACTAAACATAAATATACAGTGAATACTACACACCTTGATCTTCAATTTACATTATTAACTTGAGTTTGTTTGGACAGATAATTTTTAATTGCACGTACAAACGTAAACAAAATAATTTGGCGCCAATTTCCTAATCCTAAACAACTGAGCGATGGCATTCTTTTGAAAGCTCATACAAAGCTTCAGTGAAGCTTTTAAAGATTTATTATTTAAGTTTTTAGAAGTATGATGTATTAACTTTAAGAATTTAAAACCAAAAATACAAAACATTAACATAAAAATTTCGACTTTATGCCAAAAAATCCGACTTTTGGACCATAGTGCTAGTACAACTAATGACCTCATTTTTATGGATTATCATTTTCAATAGCTTATCGCCTGATTATATTATAATATATAGTATACATTAAAACATCTCAGCTGTGTAAAATTAAAATTATTGGGTTGGCAAGAAAGTCGTGTCGTTTTTTTTAGTAATCGTTTTTAATATAATTTATTTTCGACTAATCGAGCACCAGGGTCACACTTTTTAGTATCTTTTTAAAGCTTATTGTCTTAGGTACTATCGACGAAAATTTGGTAATTGTTCGATAACATTTGTGGAAGCTATAGCAAATTAAACATGGAGGACCAAAGTGAGCATTTTCGGCATATTTTGCTTTTTTACTTCCAAAAAGGAAAAAAAGCGGTCGAAGCTCGCGAAAAACTGTGCGAAGTGTATGGTAAAGATGCCATTAGTGATCGCCAATGTCAGCGCTGGCTTGCCAAATTCAGGCTTGGAGACTTTGGAGTTAAAGACGCCCCACGTTCTGGTCGACCATCGGCCGTTTTTGACGAACAAATTCAGGCTTTGCTGGATGAAAACCGGCGTTATTCAACGCGGGAGATGTCAGAGAAGCTCAAAGTGTCGCATACAACGGTTGAAAACCATTTGAAGAAACTTGGCTACGTAAGCAAGCTCGATGTTTGGGTTCCGCATAACTTAAAGGAAATTCACCTAACTAAGCGTATCAACATCTGCTATTCTCTGCTGCAACGGATTAAAAACGATCCTTTTTTGAAGCGGATCATTACTGGCGACGAAAAGTGGGTTGTTTACAATAATGTCCAACGAAAAAGATCATGGAGCAAGAAAGATGAGCCAGCCCAAGCCACATCAAAGGCCGATATCCATCAGAGGAAAGTTATGCTGTCTGTTTGGTGGAATTGGAAGGGTGTAGTGCACTTTGAGCTGCTGGGACGGAATGAAACCATCAATTCAGATGTGTACTGTCGCCAGCTATTCAATTTGGCGGAAAAAATTAAAGAAAAGAAGCCGACACTAGCTAATCGCAAGGCTATAGTCTTTCACCATGACAACGCTAGGCCCCACACATCTTTGGTCACTCGGCAAAAATTAACGGAGCTGAATTGGGAAGTGCTACCACATCCACCTTATAGTCCGGACTTGGCACCTTCAGATTACCATTTGTTTCGCTCTCTTCAAAACTCTTTGAATGGTAAAAACTTTGATTCAGATGAGGCTGTCGAAAACCACTTGTCTCGATTCTTTGCTGGAAAAGACCAAAAGTTCTTCGAGCGCGGAATTATGCAGCTGCCCGAAAAATGGTCATTAGTGGTCGAACAAAACGGCCAATACATAATTGATTAATTATAAGTCCTGATATAAATAAATCATCTTTGAAAATATTGAAAAAAAAACACCGGTAGCACTCCGGGAGTGCCGGCAGAAGTGAAAACTTCAATATTAACGTTGTGTTTAATTATAAGTATAAAAGACCTATCATTTATGAGAGAGGTAGAATACAATGTTTATTTATTGCGCTATCGTACACAAATATGGCAATTTATATGTTGTTATTTATAATATTATATCGTTATTTATATATTACATTAAATTTTATCTCTCAGAAAAATCAACTTCCATCCATAATTTCGACGACTTTTACACCATCGTTATTATCAGAATCATCATCGCAAATTTTAACAACTGATACAATTGGTTTATGATAACTGAAGTAAGAAACAAACAGTTTTGATTCGAACCCATTTAAGTGTAAGTACAAGGTAGTCTCGTCGGCTTTTTTTTCCCCCTATTGGGCACTACAATGAGTGCGAGTGAGAGGGTGTTTTCCCGTAAGTGCGAAAGAAACAGAAGAAGATGTTGTCGTTTTACCCTTATGCTGTGCACGGGGTTTAAAAAGGACTGTTATATGACCATGCGTATTAATTTTTCCGAAATTTTTGGTTTTTACACAAAGCTGCCCTTCAGGACTCGCTCCCATATTGTTCACATTTCAAAATATTTTTCTGCAATATTACATGTTACGCCTTGTATGTGCTTGCTGCAATAATTGCAACAAGTATTTTTCACAAGCACACAAGGGTTAACGTTTTGAGAAAAAATCGTCCGCGGACAACCTCTCACTTCGAAATCCCGAGCGCACTGAACCATAGGGGGAAAAAACCCGAGCGATTTTGCAGCCGACGAGACTACCTTGTATAATTGTACCATGACTCAGGCACGGCGATTTTGCAGCCGACGAGACTACCTTGTATAATTGTACCATGACTCAGGCACGGTAGAAAGAGTGGGAGATACTAGTTCCTCTCCCTTTCCCACGCTCTTACGCTTTTTCGATCAGCATAACGGGACCCTGACGCGAGTTTGAATGTTTTTACCCTGCTCAGCGCCGCTAAAGAAGTTTTCACTTCAAAAACGACATGACTTTCTTGCCAACCCAATAGAATAGAAGCAAGTTACTCTGTTGACGAAGAAACAAATAAATAAGTTCAACATTTATAACAATAACAACTTTAAGGGGGGGTAAGGTCAAATCATGCGAAAAAAGCCATGTTTTTGTGATTTTTTTCCTCACGGCACAGTTAAAATTTATTTATTTAACCAACGGTATATTAAAGTATGACATTAGAAGAATGTTTTATCAAATTTTTACAAAAAAATATGGCAATGGTAGCAATTGTCCGGACGTGTCGCCAAAAAAAGTTGAATTGCGGTGCCCCTCATAACTCGGTGCTGGATCATATGAAATCAAAAAATGAAAGTTCATTCGTTAGATAATAGTTCGCCCCAGGTAACGCTGTGAAGGTTTTTTGAAAATTGCAATTTTTTAATTTTTTCGAAGACTTTGAAGTGAAAAACACATTTTTTTTTGGAAAAAATCGGTTAATTTGTCATTGCGAAATCAAAATTATGAACAAAAAAAAAAAAACTCGACAGCGTTACCTCGTAAAATATGTACAGAAATAGTGTTTAAAATTTCAAAAGGATCGGTGCAGTAGTTTTGAAGTTATGAGGGGTACCGACTTTGAAAACGTGAGTTGTGGGAAAAACGCTTTAACCCTTTACTTGGCAATAACTCCTATTTTCTTGATTTTTTTTTTTTGGTTGGTAGATAAGTGAAAATAAAAAATACACTTCTTGTTAGTTTTTTAACTTTTTTTGGTTTTACCTTATTTTTTTTACAAAAGGGGTGTGATGCATTTCTGCATCAAATGGTCTTAAAAGGAAAATTTTTTTAATATGTGTTTTAGAAAGATAATAACATTCATTCAATATTAATACATATATAGTAATTTATATTTTAAATATGTCAATTTAAATTAATTTTAAAAAGCAATTATTTCTTTTATTAAAACATAAAAAAACTACACATTTTTCGCACTCCGTTTGGGAGAATTCAGTGAAGTTCGTATATTTGCAGTATTTTTTATGTGTTAAGCTACTTTGATGCATATCTGCAACAAAGCGAAATTGTTGATTTATTCGTACTATAATGCAAAAAACACAAAAACTCGACAAGATATAACTAAATATAATATTTACTTGTTTAAAAATATAAATTAAATTAACTTCACATTTTTTTTGTTACTTATATTTGGATGAGAAACTGCACAACCAATTCAGATTTCCACATTCACCAAATTGGCGAGAAAATTAATCAGCTGTTGAGTATTGGACAGAATTCTGACTGACTAACACTTGTTATATAAAAAACGAAAGTTTCTGAACTGCATTAAAAAGATTTCAGACAGTTTTGCAATGCCCGTTGAAAAATAATTGAATTTGAACGGTATGATGCAGATATGCATCACCACCATGTAAAGGGTTAAAGTTTTAAATACAAAAAAATCCAGTGTAAAACAAAAATCCGACAGGTAGAAAAATACTAATAACTTCGTCAATTTTGCTTTAATTGACTTGAAATTTTGACACAATATTCTTCAGATATTATGCATTCAATTTAAAAAAAAAAAAAAAAAAAAAAATTTAATACCCCCCTTAAGGTATTTTTGGCTGCTGCCACCACAATTGCTTTTAATCATAAGTAAACAAAAGTAAATAGATAATTTAGTTTTATTGAATTTCATGGCCAACAAAAACAAATTATGTATGTATCTATTAAAAATTCCATGTTTTTTCATCATTAATTTTGAATGGGTTGACATCATCATCATTACAAACTGGTTCATCTGAAAAAATATTAAAATAAAAACAGTTTTAATAGCTTAAAAATGATTATCAGTAACATTTTTATTGCCCAAAATATTTATTTTAAAATTCCTCAGACGTCACGTTGATAAGGACTTTTATAGACATGATTAGTCGCATGCAGTTAAAGCCAAGCATCATTTTTTTTCCATAGGATAGCTAAGCTGCCTTTTTCTTTTACTTAGTCGAAGCTATGTCGATTTTTCTATTAAGTTTCAATATTTTCGACGATTGCTAATATGACAGCAATATGATACAGTCGTCCGATTTTCATGAAATTCAATTGGAAAATCGAAAGTCAATAGAAAAACTCTATCAGGCATGCTCCGGTTTTCACTTTTTTTTTTCGTTTTCGTTTTTGGGCGAAAACGTACGTTTTTGTTTTAGTTGCTCTGGTTTTCACAATTTTTTTGTCATCGTTTCGTTATCGGAACGTTTCATTTTTTCATCGTTTCTCACTGTTCAAACAGCTGACTTGTTTGCATTTATATTTTCAATTGCCTGTTTTGAAGCAAAAAAAAATCAGAAATTGATTGATTTAAGAAAATCAACACATCTTAGATGCAACACATGTGTTTTTAATATGTCTGACATTTCATAATTTCATTTTATAAGTAGTTTTAAGTGGTTGTTTTGTTCCACTACAAGTACGGCAGCATTGACGATAACTTTTGGCAATAGATTTATCGACCCCTTAGCAAAACGAAAGTTGTTGTTGGCGACGGCAAATATTTTATTTATGAAATCATGATGGGGTCAGAAAAAAATTATTTAAAAAATAAATACGAATTAGACTGATCTACTGATGGTGTGAAATGAACATTAATAGACCAAGGAGTCGACTATTTTTTTCCTTTTGCAATTAAGAACTGATTTGATGTAGAAAATGGCATTTACTTTTCATTTCGACAAAAAAAAAAACTTGCCCGTTTTTGAAAACAAAAAAATCTTGTGAAAGTGAAAACGGAAGCACCAATTCTCGTTTTTGAAAACGAAAGAATCTTGTGAAAGTGAAAACCGGAGCCTGCCTGTATATTCCAAAAATTATTCTTGTCTGATGAAATACCACGATGTTATCATTTTCTCCGTTTACGTTTATTTTTTTTCCTCGATTCAAGGGAAGTCTAAGAACTCGCAGTTTTAAAACTCATGATCGTGGGAAAAAAGACAAAGACGTTATCATTTTTTTGCCATTATTTATATATATTTTTTTCGATCTTTCCTATGGCAGCTATATAATTTAATTATCCGATTTCGTTAAAATTAAATTCGAAATTCAAAAGATTCGATATGATAAAAAACACCCGCGTGAGAATTTTTTTTCATTCTCTCCTCTGGGAGCTATCCATATAGTCGACCGATCCGACCAATACAATATTTACACAACTTTTGGTAAAGTTTCAGCAAGATAGCTTTAAAGCTGAGGGACTAGTTTGCAAAGAAGCGGACAGACGGACAGACGCACAGACGTACTACGATTCAGATCGTGATGCTGATCAAGAATATATGTACTTTACGGGGTATGAGGTGTCTCCTTCACTGCGTTGAAAACTTCTGACTGATATTATAGTACCCTCTGCAAGGGTATAATAAAAATATTACAGAGGAGTTATCCCCACAAAATGCAATTAGCATAGAAGGCGTACTTTTCTGCTAGATATGCGCTACTATGAGCATGTCGCATTGCAGAGCGGAGGGAGCAGTCAAATTGACAGTCCACCCAGATTGCCGAGGGCGCTGTCATACCCTAAGAAAGCGACCACATAACTACGAGGTTTAAGTTCCTATAAGCAAGCAAGTATTTTATTTTAAGCGGACAAACCCTATCTAAAAGACATCCTCTTGCTACGAATACAGTCGGCTACGTTATCTAATAAGCAACGACTGGCGGCAAGGATGTGGCAAGTTAAACGTGGGGAGCCGGTTGCATGGCGTTAGCGTTATGTATCGGACTACTGTGCAAATATTGTGGACAAATAAGTAGGTATAGTTTAAGCCCGTTTATCACAAAACACTCGCCAAGCAAACTGATTGTTACGAACACAAAATCCCGACCGTTCACTGTGAGGAGTTAAAATAGCAGGGGCGTAGCTACCGCCGTATTTGCCGTATCAATTATACGTGGCCTGGGGCCCCCAAAGTGTGAAAGAGTGAATATTTAAAATTTGACCCCATAAGGTACATATATTCCACGAGAATTTTATATATTAGATTAATGGAAATAAATTGATAACATCGTTGTTTTTTATCCCACGAGCATGATTTTTTGAATATCAAGTTTTTAAAAACTCTTATATTGAGAAAAAAGTTTCATAAAAATCGGACAACTATATCTTATAGCTGCCATAGGAAAGATCGAAAAATCTATATAGAAAAACCGGAATCAAAATTGTAACATCGTTGTTTTTCATCAGACAAGCATGATTTTTGGAATATAGAGTTTTCTAACGACTCTTGAATACCGAATTAAATTTCATCAAAATCGGACGGGTATATCATATAGCCGTCATTTGAACAATAGTCGAAAATATAGAAAATGAATAGAAAAATCGTCTTAGCTTCGATGTGGTTTAGCCGTTATGTATTTTTTTTCGACATATTTGATGACTGCAAGGGTATAAAAGCTTCGGTTTGCCGAAGCTAGCTTCCTTTCTTGTTTTCTTTTGTGAAAAATCTTTACTTCCATATAAGGGCCTCCAAAAAATTTGTTATACGGGGCCCCGACAAGGCACGCTACGCCACTGTAAAATAGGCTAACTTTGTATGAAACCGATTTTCAAAAACAATTAAGTTAGTGAACATTTCTTTAACTGAGTATCTTGAATAGAGGCACTGTTTTAATGTCGATCAAATTTCTTGTCAAACTATAAAAAGAGAAAAGTACGAATCTTCCTATTTTTGTTTCCTTGTATCTGGGTGCATGGTAGATTTTTTTGCTATGTACCATACATACATTAAAGTAACTAATCTATGCTTACCCAGTCTAATGTTGAAAAGTTTTATATTTCATCTTTTACTGATCTTTTTTTCAGTAACCTTTGGGATCGTTTGGGTTTCGCTTTCATTTTCTTTTTTTTTCAGTTTCTGTGCAGAAGATAACATATGTTTATCCTAGTGCTGGTCAGACTAACATCAGTTACAGAATTAAGGTGGATTTATCGACGCATTTCCGCGAAAGTATCGTATGTTGCTTTTTTTCGAAATTGAGATTTTAATGCAAAATTGTTAGGCACCTAATGTCTCACTACCCTGTGAAATATTATAACTGAAAACCATATAGTTCCGATTAAAATTAAGTTTCAATTTTATCGTATGTTACAGTGCTCCTAAGAGATTAAATCAAAACAAGAAAGGAAGCTAGCTTCGGCAAGCCGAAGCTTATATACCCTTGCAGTCATCAAATATGTCGAACAAAATGCATAAAGGCTAAACAACATCGAAGCTATAACGATTTTTCTATTCATTTTCCATATTTCCGACTATAGATCATATGGGAGCTATATGATATAGTTGTCCGATTTTGATCAAATTTAATTCGTAATTTAAGAGCCGTAAGAAAACTCTATATTTCAAAAATCATACTTGCCTGATAAAAAACCACGATGCTATAATTTTACTTCCGTTATTTCTATATAGATTTTTCGATCTTTCCTATGACAGCTATAAGATATAGTTGTCCGATTTTTATGAAACTTTTTTCTCAATATAAGAGTTGTTAAAATACTTGATATTCAAAAAATCATGCTCATGGGATAAAAAACAACGATGTTATCAATTTATTTCCATTAATTCTATATATATTTTTTGATCTCTCCTATGGCAGCTATACGATAGAGTTATCCGATTTTGATTAAATTTAATCCGAAATTCAATAGTAGTTAGAAAACGCCATCTGGAAGAATTCAAGTCGATCTGATCAAAAACAACGGCCTGAGAATTTTTTATTTCATTCTCTCGTATTGGAGCTATCCGATATAGTCGGCCGATCCGGCTCGTTTCGACTTATATAGTGCGTGCAATCACTATACACCTTTTGGGAAAGTTTCAGCAAGATAGCTTTAAAACTGAGAGACTAGTTTGAAGAGAAACAGACAGACGGATAGACGGCCAGACGGACAGACGTATTCTGATTCTACTCGTGATGCTGATCAAGAATATATATACTTTATGGGGTCTGAGGTGTCTCCTTCACTGCGTTGCAAACTTCTGACTGAAATTATAATACCCTTTTGCTCAGAAAGGGTATAAAAAGGCTTCTCCTGTAAAATTGCATTTTTCAACATACGATACATTCGCGGAAATGCGTCGATATATTCAATTGGCAATGCCAAGCTTATCCTCTTATATCCGTGGTGGGATATTCCATCGTACTGTAGCAATCGAGACGTTATTTTAATTTGATACAGGGGCCTTGTATACAACATAACTTTCCCTAATTAAATCAATAAGTGCATTCCGAAAAAAGTCACGAAAAACCGCAAATAACGTTTATATTTCTTAATCTTACCAAAGACGAAAAGCCAAGCAATGGTCAATGACACCAAGTCCGAAGAACCTTACTTTCAGTCGCTACGACTTTTACGTCCAGCAGCGCAGCCGCCCATTTCGCCTTTCACCAATCGATGCACTGTCAGTGCTTATGGGGAAAACAACGAACGTGAATATGTATGCGACAGTGTATGTTGTTAACAATAAATCTGAGTTGAACTGGACGCCAGCCGAAAGCGCGGCTTCTTAAAAAAAAAACTATCAAATGTAGCTTAGCTGAAAATATAACATAGACATATGTACATTGATGAGATAACGAAGATAACAAAAAGGACCTTAAAGAGCGGATAAGAGATCGATCTGCAGGTGCAGCGGTACACATATGCGCACCTGATTAGGTGCTGGTGGTCTGCTCTGAACAGTCAGTTTGGGCACTCCCTTGTATGGTGCCCACAGTAACTACCGTTGTTTAAAGCTATCGTCGTCGTCTCAA